GGAACGGACAAGGACCGGACGTGCAGGTGGAGGGGGNGGGGGGGGCTTGCCCAAGTGGCAGCTAAGGTGTACAAGGCCCGGGCGCAGGCCACAATCACGCTACTAACCTTTTTTCGTTCATCATACTCTCTCAGAGCAGGCATAGGTACTGTTCAACACACTCATAAGTACCTAACCATTTGCACAATTTGTGCCCGTACCCCCCTGACCAGCATTGGTGAGGCATTGCCCCATTGTCCACCTTGGACAGCGAGAAATAAAAATCGCCATGGCAGCGAGTGCCGTGCGATGCGGTGTCGGCGGGGGATCTGGACGGGACTGGACACGACACACGACGACAGCGACGTGCGACGACGGGCAACTGGACTGACCAAGACACTTTCCCGAAGCGGAGCCCTTTTGCCCTTGAACTTTGATCCGGGGTGGAGTTGGCCGCTGCCACTGCTCTTTCTCGTGAGTTGTGAGTGGACAGGGATGGAGCAGATACGAGTCCACCCTGACACCGTCTGATGGTATGTAGGTAGGTATCGTGTTTACCACTTTGGCATTCAGTACACTAGTTTGTGAAGTCGTGTTCCTGCACCTGACCCACGAGCTGCATGCCGCGTATAAAGTTTAAATCCCCCCCGCACATGACATTGAGGTTGGTCGCATTTTCGTCCAAGGAGATAACGAAGCAAGCGACAAAAGGCGTGTGTCGTTCGGAACACACGGCACTATTGGATACCTCAACTCGTATACTTGAGATGGAGGAGCGGGAAGGCAGCCGATCCAGAGGTACGCCTTCTGCCCCTCCCCCCCGGTCACAACCTAGGAACGAAATTAACAGCGCGATAAGAAATCTACGATAGGTTGGCCATTTCAAGCTTGGGAGAAATTCCAGAGCTTGGCTCACTTGGCGTCGGGTTGTTGAAGTGGCCCTTGCCAATGTCGTCACTTTTTCTCTTGGCACTCCGCTCGCTTCCCTTCGTCTCGTTTGGACATGGATTGTCCTGGCGTCGCAGGTACGTTGGAGGTGCTCGCTTCTGTTAAGGCCTTGACGGTGTGCTTCGGGATCTACAGTACCGTATGTCGCCTCACTGCCCGAGTCTTTGCCTGAAAAACGAAACTTGAAACACCCGGACTGCTTGGCTGGTCCCAGCCTTATCTGAGCAATCCACATGTAAGGTACTCGGTACTTTTGGCTTGGGCGTATTTTCTGGACTGCCTCAACCAAGCGCGCATTCCCCCTTCCTTTGCGAGCCTGCCTTGACTGCAGTGAGTGAGTGCTCTTCGCTTCGGCACCATGCCTTCCTTTGCGCGTCCGTGTCTTGAAGCACCGAGGCTCCTCAGCAAAAGGGAGGGGCCGCCGCACACAATTTCAAGGGCAACGACGATCACGGAGAAGTGAAAACCAAACCGAAAAGCAATTTCATTAGGCCCCCGTTCATGTCCGTGTTTCGCACGCAACATGCCGACTTCACCCACCTCCCGTCCCTCCCAGGCACTTTAAGTAGCCGCTTGCAGATTTCACCCGCGCCTGCCAGGCCCATCCCTTCAGCACATGAGTCCATGATGCCGAGATCTTCGAAAGAACAAAGAACCGCAGCGCTGGATTCCGGAAGCTGGAGCTCGCAACGGGCGGACTTACTCCGCTCTTCAGCTCTCAGGGTCCATTGGTCTCGTCTTCGATTATTCGCACACTCGCAAGAGTCTCCGGAAATGACTGTCCATCAGGCGGGTTGTTAGGTGATTTACTCCACTCTTCAGCTCTCACGGTTCCCGTCGTCTCGTCTTCCAGTCCCGGCATCTTCAATCCGTCTTCAGATGGAGGTCTCGCGCCTTCCTGTGGCTTTCGTGGACATCTGCCCCTTCCTTCCCTTTCACGAGCTTTGGGCCTCCATCCTTCCTTCGCCCATAAGACTTGCCCTCTGGCGCCGTAGCTACCTTATCTAGGCAAGCCGCAGCAGCCAATTCACGCGCGTGCTAACAGAGAGAGGCTCGTCTGTTCCATCAAAGAACAAATTACATGGGCTGATGGTGTTACCGCTCTATAAGGACTGCCCTTCAAAGAGACTTCTGCTTACCATCTTCGAATCAAAAATGAGAGGGCTGCCCATGAGCCTCGCTCGATTGAGAGACTTGCGTTTCTCTTTGGCCATAATCGACATAAACAAAGGAAGGGACCGTGATGCACATCAGTGTCACGCATCTGTTGCATCCCACAGATGTGACTGACCCAGAAAAGTTTCAGTTTGGCCTTTTCCCTTTGTATATCTCATGTTTTCTTCTTGACCAGCCTTTCGACCTTTTCGGGATCCGGACACTGCCTGATATCTACACAGGCCCAAACGCTCTGGGTGAACACGAAGCAGTGACACACTATTCGAGGTAATACGAAAGCACGCCTCTACTCAACCTGCATCACGTATGGTGTACGCTAGGACAAAGTAGTGCGGGGGTTGTATGTGCACCATGTTGAATTCTCGAACGACATTCCGGATCAATCCCACCCACCATCCATCGTGAAAGTACGTGGTAAAATGCATACTATCGTTCATACTTGCGATTCTGGACCAGTTATGATTGTTAAACTATACTTCCTTATAACCGGTCCTATGTCCGCTGCTTCCTTGATGAACTTACAAGGGACTGCAGATTTCCAAGGCCTAGGATTGGTTTTCATTGTAACTTATGAGAGATTTACCATTCGGCCAGCCAGTTGGGGAGTCGACACGAGGCGAGACGAGCAATGCCATCCTGGCTATGCCAACATGTCCTGATGATCGACAAAAGCAGAGTTGAGAAAAGACTTGGACGAGTCGTCGAGTGTTTACGCAATTCGAGACGTAAAATCAGTCACCGGCATTCTTACCTACCTTATACTCTCTGCTGCTGGCAAGTTGTATATTTGCCTAGTATTCTTCTGAGCCGTCGACTGGTGATGCTTGCCGGCCATAATATCCAAGAGATGAGGACACTACACCACTGCATCCTCAGCGTCAGCCGCTCCTTGTTTGGATACGGAGATAAACGGGACCGGTTTCTGCCCGTCCCGGTGCGACTTCCAATGTGCTCCAAGAGGCGGTCAATGCAACGCCCTGAGAGCCGATAAGATCACAAGTCAGTCGTGTGGTATTACCCTCAAGAATGCCTGCCTTCCTTGCGTTGGCGAGGGTACGCGTACCGGACTGTGAGTTATCATCATATTCCCCCTTTTCAGAACCCCCATTTCTGCCTCTTCTCTAGGCATAACCCGTCGCTTGGTGTCTCAAATGCATGTGTCGCCGTGACACGGCATGTAACACTGAGTGCCGTGTCCTTTCTGCGGTGAACCTACAGAACCGGAACCGGCAATCAAGACCGCTGCGTTCCGTTTCATCTTTATCTACCGAGAAAGGCGTCTGTATAAAGATGGTTGTCATTCGTTGGTTCAGATGGAGACCGTGGGGATACACGCACGAGAGGACAAATAGGGTTCGCTATTCCCTGACTGACCGATATGCCTTGTGCTTTATGCTTCGGTCACACAAGATGAGTGCGGGAGGCCTCGTCGCCTCGCTTTTCTTTTTCTTTTTGTTTCCTTCTTTCGAATGTCGGCGACAGGATTTGACATGTTGAACTGCCGCCTGCCGGTATTGTGCTCGTGCTGCCGTTGTTGTCATGTTACTGTCACCGACCGATCTGTGGTCGTTAGTGTCTCCTTGTATGTGCAGGGGGAACCGCTTGAATAAAAGTCATATGCAAACTCTCAAGTACTTTTACTTTTACTCAATCGGTTTAACGTCCGTCGTCATGTTACTATTGACTTATTATTCTCATCGACTTTCCACATTCCCCGGTGACCTCAATGGTAATTACTAAATAGCCACTGAGTATCATCTCAGACACCCGGTGACAGTGACGGGTGACCAATGCCAACTGACTTAGACCTGAGCGACCTCATTTACAACAATTTCCAGGCGCTAGTTCAACCGCTATGCCCTCTTAAAAAGGCAACGTAACTATATGGGGTGACGGACACAAGAACAAAGTACGCAAATGACAGCGAATGAACCGACTCGGCCGTTAGGCTGAAACAAGACGAGACAAAACAGAGGATGGGAAGAGAGACTAGAGAAAGCAAAACATATCTGGGGTAGGGATGTGTGTGCGGTGTTGTTTGATACATCTTTTTGTTATCCCTTGTTACTTAGAAGTGTTGTTCAACCACTCACTACGAGAGAGAGAAGTCATGCTACACCGCCTGACAAGCGTCAAACTCGAACCTTCGAGGAAGCATAGTGGCTGACACACTGATTTTTAACGTTGAAGAAGTTCTTCCACCAACCTCGTTGATTTTGCAGTGGCTTACCTACCTACCTGGTCAGGAATATGCCATATGAGAGCTTCCACGCTTCTTTCTCGAAAAGAGGAAAATGCCGGCTGAATCACAATGTACGAAAGGCAAAATGGCTTTTCTCATCTTTAAAAGCAAGATTGATCTTGGCAATCTACCGCATCGTATGTCTTTCTATCGAATAATATAGTTATTCGGCCCTAGGTAGAGCGAGAATGAAGAAGCCCTCCATTTCCAACAGAGAAGATAACATAAAAAGTAGATACAAAATCTCTTTATCATACCATAGAGATTGATGCACGTTATGCTTATCCGCGTCTCCTTTCAAACAATCCCATTACTTCCATCCGTTTCCTCATCCCTTTTTGCGCGTATATTATTTACCTCTTTGGGTAGGTATCCAACATTCTCATCTTTACCTAGTTCTATGTTTCGAGCAGGGTTTTAGTGTAAGCCCAATTACCTACCCCCCCCCCCCCCCCCTAAGCAGCAACAGGCGTAAGATACACACAATCGCTCCGAACATCCTTTCCATCCGTCCCTGTCGACAAATAAAGCCCATTGCCGCACGACAGCATATTCCCCCGCCCATTCGCCGACAGCGTCAACTGTCCCGTCCCCGCATTCACACACCCTTTCACCCGCTGCATCGTGCCCGCTGCCACGCCCGCCTCCACATCCGCCTTGAGCTTGGGCCGCACCGACACCGTCGCGCCCTTGTCGCTGACTAGCACGTAGGCGGCGTATACGGATGTCTGCCCGGTGACGGGCTGAGCTAGTTCAAGGTAGCCGTTGGAGTCGAGGACCCAGGTCGAGCGAAGAGCGCTGGCGGTTCCGGGAGCTGGAGTATCGGGGAAAGTTTGCCAGGCGATGGCGGTGCTGCCGGCGACGTTCATCCAGCGGGTGGAGCCGTCGGGGAAGGGGTTGTGAGCGCGGAAGGATAGGCCGCGGGGTTTGCAGACTAACGGCACGACGGAGACGGGCGTGGATGTGGAGGTTGCGGTCTCGACGGCGGAGATGGTGAGGGTGGTGGTGGCGGTGATGAGGTCCGTGGCGCCGATGGTTTCGGTTTTGGTGTCGGAGACAGTTTCGGTTTTGGTGTCGGAGACAGTTTCGGTTACGGAGATGATGTCGGTGGAGGTGGTAGAGAGGGTGGCGACGACGGTGGTGAGTGCGTCCGAGGCGGTCACGGTTACGGTCTCAACGGCGGCAACGCTAGCGGTGATGGTGGTGGCCGTGACGCCGACGCACTTGCAGGCTTTGGAGTACTGGGACCAGTCGGCGCAGTCGGCGGTGGCGTAGGTGGGGAGAGGGTTGGCCTCCTCAATTTGAGTCAGAGTGTCGCGAGCCTTCTTCACCTTGAAGGTCTCAATGTCAATGGGGTTCTGGTAGGCCGTCGACGTCGAAGTGACTTCGGGGAGAAGTGAGATCAAGGTCGTGGTGTAGGGAACGGTGACGGTCTCGGTGAGAAAGTCCGTCTCGGTCGCTGAAGTTACTGTGATAGCCTCAGTGAGGATACGGGTCTCGGTCGAGGCGATTTCCGTCGTAGTCTCGGTGAAGAGGACGGTGTCAACGGCGCTCTGGACGAGCGTGACCGTTTCAGTGTAGGTGCTTGCTGATGGGGTCACGGTGACGATGAGGTTGGACTTGCAGTCCATTACTCCCTCGAAGTCCGCGAGAGCAACGGCTGTGGATAGTTCATCGTCAGTTCATGAATCTAACTCTTGGAGCTCATGAAGATCCATTTTCAACATACCCTTCAAGCAATTGTTGCTGCGACAGCAAGCAGCAGAAGCCACCTGCAGCAGGGCAGCCCCCGAAAGGGCGACAATACCAAAGTTTTTCATGATTTGAACGAGTGACTAGACTGGAGTGAACGAATGGCTGAGGTGAATCCAATCTTGAGGCGAAGAGAGATTGAAATGGCTGTTGGGACTTGGTCCCTTTTTGTCACCACTCATGTTGCCCATCCCATCACTTTCGTCATTTTACAGACTTTCAGCTCGTCGGCGACGCCCTCTTTTGGTCGTATGAATTGATAATTCGACCCGTTGTAGATTCAATAGCGTCGAGCGCGATGGGGAGCCGCCAATGTTTGCTCAGAGCCGAAATGGGTTCTTGCCGGCATCAGGGCAGTTCGAGCTCGACGGTCTAGACTTCTGGACTTCTTCACCCCTGAACCCATGGTCCCAGCTGGGTTCGGTCTAACGCTTTTCTGCCTTTGCTAGCGAGACTCAATTACACAGTTTGACAGTAGTGTACATACCCCACCCAAGCCACTACACGACAAGATGAAATGTGAAGATGCGCTCGCTCGCTCGCTCGCCCACTGTCCAATCAACGTACACACTTCGTCCCTATGGGTTATGACATCTCACTTTCTATTACATTGATGACAGACAACCGTTGTCGCTTTGATCCTTACACAGAAAAACAACAACACAAAACCCCTAACAAGATATGAACTCCCCTTCCCTTGGTAATGCAGATAAACAGGTAAAAGCATGGCCCTTATCAAGTGCCTCGGTAAACCACCCATACCACCCCGTAACCCAGCCAATCCATGGAAACCCAAAAGATCAAACCCAGCTGACAAAACGGGGAACCATCTTGCCTTTCGTACACATTAACCATAAGAGAACCGACTGGTAATTACCTAGCTCCCAGTCTGTCTCCTCGCTAGCCCCGGCCGTCCGCTGACACTGCCATTACGACTACCAATATTTTCATTCACCGCCGACGGCGCCGGACTCGACGACCGGCTCCCTGCTGAACCAACACTCTCAAACTTTTCCACCAAGTCCAAAACCCTCGTTCTCGTCCTCTTGGGTAGCGCACCAGGGCCAGGAGAGGGAGACGGACGCGGTGGTGGAGGTTGCATTGCCTGCGACTGCGAATGAAGCAACTCCAAACCGAGTGACGACGACTCGTGTGGTTGTTCTTGCTGTTGTTGCTGCAGCTCAGCCAACGCCTCAGCAGAAGTCCGCACCTCCGACACCGAAGGCAGCGCGACCTTCTCCATCTTGACCGCCTCGGCCACGTGTAGCGTCGCGGTGCCGGTGTCGGATACACCGCTTGCTACGCTTCGGAGGGAGTGCACGCTGTAGGTTGAGCGGATGGAGGGGACGTAGGATCTGCGGTGGGTGTGACCACGGTCATAGGTTTTCTCGGGAGAGGGCGAGGGTACAGGGGTGATTTGAATATGGGTTTCTCCTGATGGTGTTAAGCCGGATCCCTCAGACGAGGGTGTTGTGGGGTTGAGACCCAGTGTGCTTGGTTGACTGCGGATGGCGGTGCGGGTTTTGGTTGGAGAAGGAGGTTGGAGGAATGAGAAGTCTGACGACTGCTGCTGAGGCTGTCGTTGAGTAAATTCTGGCAGTTGGGGGGAGAGTGATGGCGAGGTAGGATGCGAGAGGGAAAGGGTGAGTGGAGATGGAAGGGCTAAATCCAGCAGAGGGAACGGCGAGGGCGTCCGTTTGCGTGTAGGGCTCCCATTTGAGTCAAGATAGATCTGAGGATGGTCCTGACCGGGGACTTCTGACGCAGGCGTTCGCATCGGGTTGGTTTCAGAGTCAGAGTTTGTATCATTTCCCGGTCCTCGAATCGGCAGGTTTGTCTCCGACTGGAGTTCGTGCTCTGACTGCTGTTGGCTACCGCTGGATATCTTCCTCGTGCTCTCACCGGCAATGATTTCGATGGTATCCGGTGTCTGTCCCCCGGCCCGTTCCTTCCCCTTCCCCTTATCAATGTTGCTGGGGGTTCCGCTTCTACTACTTCTGCTGCCCCCCTCATTGACATCACACAGAATGATAGACTCCTCCCGCTCAATCTCCGCGTTTACCACCCTCAGGCGCTCTTTGGGCACAGTAAACATCACCTGCACCAACCGCTGCTCGACCGCCTTCTCCACATCCCACTCATCTCCCTGGCCTCCATCCCCCGCGGTGTCATTATGCTCCCCTCCAGCGGCTTGACCAGTCGATGACTTCTCTCCATTGATATCCCAGGCCTCACGGCCCTGCTTCCTCCTCACCAGCCCCAAGCCCAAGGCGCCGGGATTGAAACCGATCAATGAGAGGTGAGGGTGATCAAAACCACTAGCTTCGTTACTATGCAACAAGCTCTCCTTGGTTGGACTATCAACGCCACCGGAGCTGCCTGACCCGCCCGACCCTCCGTTGACACTGAGCATCCGCTTAAGGCTGCCCAGCCAGCTGCGCGGACGGGAGTCGAGACGGGAGTTTCGACGAGTTTTGGATGGCGAACTAGGGATTGGTTCCCAATCCTCTTCGGATTCTTCACGTTCCCCGCCTTCGTCCGCACTCGGGTGCTCGTTGTTGCCTGACCCGGACATAGGAAACAGAAGGTCAGCGCCTTCGGCCTGTAGGGAGTTGAAGTTGGGAGTTGGCGTGGGAAGATTGGATTTGGCGGATGCGAAGGCTGTCGAACCGGAGTGGGATCCACTAGAAGCGGAGGGGGCTACGAGGGAGTGGTTGCTGCCGCTGTTGCCAGACTCGCCGCTGCCGAAACTTCTTGGTTTGGGAATATCTCCTGCTGCGGCCGCTACATGCTGATGATGGGCAGGGGAGAGTGGGGGCGCCTGTTGATGCTCTCCGCCTGAGATGAAACTGAATGCGCTGCGGTCGGAAAGGTTGCTTCCCGTGCGATGGTCGCTGCCTGCGCGGGCGTCGTCCGAAATATCCACCATGCTCTTACTCAATGAGTTGGAGGCCCTAGACTTGGTAGACTTGTTGGATGCTCGGCGGGCAGGTGATGTTATCACACGCGTTGTTGTACTAGTAGGTGATAGGGGCTGGTGCGTGGCAGCCTCGAGCGAAGCAGCGGTAGCTGCCCGGTGAGTGGTAGTCACGGATCCATGCCGGCTGATTTTGGCGGCCAGAACGGCGTCCGCCACGTCCACATCAGTCTTCCAGCCCCGGACTTCCGGGTCTTGAGATTGCCCCTGCTTTGGAGAGAAGGATAGGACCTCAGGCGGTGGTAAGCCGGGGCTTGACTTTTCTTCGTTCAGACTCCCTCCGCTTCCGCTCTCACTGCTAGTTGGCGCATATGGCGTGCTGGCCACAGCTCCAGCCCGTAGGATGCTTCCGGCCGGGGTAATGAATGGATCGTCGTCATATTCGGGGCTGATCAGCCGCCCGGACGCCCCTAGATCTCTTCCGTCTTTCTCGTTGTATTCGTCGTCTTCTTCTGCTTCCTCGTAGATAGGGTGGATCCCATTAGGATTCACGTCCTCTCTTCCAGGCAGCGGCGCAAAATCCATACCATGAGTAGGGATATAGAGGCCCCTCGCGTTGCGTAACCTGCCGACTCCGGACCCGGTGCTATTAGCAGCCGGCGGGCCGGATGGCTGGTAAAGATCTGGTTGACCAACAACTTGATACCCACCACTCAGATACCGGGTGCCCTGCCCATTCGAGTCGCTGTTGGTGTTCCAGGGGAACTGGAAGCCGAATCCGCTGCTTCCTTGCTCGGCCAAATCATTGTCGTAACTGGTGTAACTGGATGGATTCTCGCCCCAGTCATGAATGTTATGCCTGATGGTACCCCCAAAACCTGTGCCGTAGATACTAGGGGTCATGCCCTTGGACAAGCTGCGAAGAGCTCGGTCGCGCTGAGCCCGGCGGCGTTGTCGTCGGCGCCATAGGAAGAAAAGAATTGCGAAGATGATAGCCACGAGTGGAACCCCGAGACCGAGAGCCAATCCAAGTGTAAGACCGAGATTCTGGCTGACCTTGTTAGTAGCAGGTGGATCGCTTGTGGTAGGAGGGATATCGACGGTCGGATTGCCATTCGAATTAAGTCGTGGGTTAGTATAGGCTGTCGACCAGGACTGAGACGTTATGTTGAAGAATCTCAGAGTGTTCGTGACAGCAGTCGACTGTCGTTTCTCGAGGTTGCTGCCATCGGTGATACCTATCAAGGACTTGAGCCATCTCTTGGCCTTTGCCTTGGAAGAAGCTGCCTTTGGTGGATTGATTGCCCACCCTCCGTAGACCATCATTACGTTCCCTGGCAGGACCACAGCACCGTGACCATAGAGTCCCTCTCCTTCTCCGAATATCTGTGTCCGATCGTCTTGGGGAATCTCCCACCGCCAATCATCATAACTTGCCCCAATCTTGATTACCACAAGCTGTGGCTCCGCCGGTTGAGACACATCGCCTACCCAGCCTCCTAGAATGACCAAGCTGTCTCCATCCTCACTCAACACGGTCGTGTGCCCTGACCTGCTATCCACAGTCGTCACTGACGGCCCGACTGCTTCTTCTGCAGATGGACTAATCGACACGTAGCTCCACGTCTCTTCCGGCAGACTCCAGATAGCCGCGGTACTCATGTTGACAAAGGCATGCTGCGTGTGTCCGCCCAGCAGCACATGAGAGGTCTGCTGGGTTACGATGCCGGATCGGTTCGTGATACTTGGTGTCAAGGGGGTGAAAGTGAAGCCTGCTTCCGGGATAGGAGGGCCGCCAAGTTGGGGGTTGGAGATTGTGAAGCTGGTTCCATTGCTGTTATTTTCCGGTTCTATAACATCACTCATGTCGTCGCCTCCAGGAGGTGTATTGTTTGAAGGCTTCGCTACAGAAGAGTCTGAAGAACGAGAAGAGATCTTGAGCATACGGTTCGAGTATTGCGCTGATGCCTGCCATGTCGACGCTGTGGAGTTGGAAAAGGGGCACATGCCGCCGTAGATGTAGATGACGGGATCAGAAAGGGTGGGATAGATTTGTGATGAGAAGGAGAGTGAAGAGCCGAGGAGGCAAGGGATTCCTGTTCCTATCCCTATACTGCTCTTGGGGTTCTGCTGGGTACTGTACTTTGTCCAGTCGCCTTTTGCGTCACCGTCTTCCTCGAAGGAGGGAGTGTAACTCCATACCGCGGGAGTGGCATCCTCGTCTCCATAACCTGACGCACGTCCAGCGGCACAGTCACCTGCCAACACTGCCAAAGTGCCATTCTCCAATAACGTTGGCGCAAATCCGCCCGTTTTCGACTTGGTGACGAAGGGTAGGCCAGAGGTTAGTGTTGTCGGTTTGAAGGAATCGGCATCCAGAGTCGAAGAGGTGTTGACGGCGAGCAAGTCAACGCCGTTGTTGTCCGCATTAGGGGTGAAGATGTATGCGAGTCCATGATTGGCCGAGTTACTGGAGAGAAGTGACCGAGATCCGGAAAGCAAAATGGTAGTGGGCGTGTAGGGAAGCGTGATGGCGGCCACTGGCGTTGCTGCTGCCGCCAGGGCGGCCAAGCAGAAGGATGTGGCGAGTGGAATGCGGTGTCGTCGATGCCCGGTATGTGATGTTGTCGTCGGTTGCCGGGATGGCGGCCATGTTTCGGACGTGCTTGGCGGTGAGGGCGCTAGTCGAGACCCGGATCGGTGTCGGGACTGGGGCCGGGGCCGGGGCCGGGGCCGGACCATGATTTGGGCGCCCCGGAAGATGATGATTGGCGGGGAAGGAAGTGCCCGTTTGCTCTGTCCTCGTCGTCGACGTCGCTCTAGGGAAAGGACGACTTGACCATTGTTCCTCCTGGTCCTTTCTTTCCTTTCTTTTCCCGGCTGCGGTTTTACCTTTCGTGTTTCCAGATGCCAATCGGTTTGTTCTCACCAGTTCGCCGTTTGTCCCAGATGACGGAACGCTCACTGTCTCTGATCTCCAAGTACGAAGGTTGAATTGCTCCGCCAAATGTTGGGGTCCCCACTTCTTTCCCCTTCTCGAAGGCAGCGACCGACAATCTGGAATGCAGAGACGGGGAGTTGGAATGGAGAACGAAACGTGGAGTTTTGGTGATAAGCGCAGACTAAAACCTGACCTCGCTGCAGGTACTGGAATTTCCCCCGCAGAATGCGGCAGCTTGCTTGCTTTTCCGCGTTACTTGATGTGCAGTGCTGGTACTGTAGTGCGAGCGATGATGATGGGACGAAAAAGGAGTTTTGCAGCGGCCCTTCTTCGTAAGGCTGAATGAACGTCAAGTCAAAGTGAAGTCAGGGTCGATGATACATTCACCCGTCAACCAGTTAGAACTGAAGAGGGAAGGACCCTTGCCTGCCTCGACCGATCCGATTGCACGGCAGCGATGGCCCCAAGACACAGACCCAGACCGCACAACAAGGAGGCTCCGGAACAACAAGCGGCGGCGGCAATTGGAGTGAGAAGAATGAGGGCAATGTTACGGTGTGAGAAAATAGAACTGATTGGAACTATCTACTAAAAATTCCCGGTCAACAATTCGTCTCAGGGACCTTGGCCGCCCTTCTTCGAACGGACTTTCTTTACCACCGTGAGGAAGCCAGCCAGGTCCCAGTGGAGTTGACGGTTGAAAGCAGGGAGGCTGGTAAAGCCGGGCTGGGCGGCGCCGCGGTTGGGGAGGAGGAGGGTGTGGAGTGTGGGGAGGGGGTGTTCCTAGCTCTCCTGCTGCAGGTCTGCTTGCGCGCGCAGACATCAGAGATCATGATCCTGCCAAATCAACAATGACCGAATACGCCCCTCCCATTGGTCAGTTTTCCGCGATGGGAGGCTCAGGGAGGGGCTGTGCAAGTGAGATGTTCAGGGCGCGCCCAGTCCACACCAGTCTCGTCGTCGAATCCAGAAATCCGTCGCAATTGCATTCGAGTCCCATTGATGCGCGCGCGGTGGAGTTGGTTTTCTACTGTACACCGGGCGGCTGGGATGGAGATAGTTGGCAGGGAAACAAATAGTGGGACAAGGTAAGCTTATCGCTGGGATCACCAACGTGAAAATAAACAAAGAAAATGGTGGGGGTGGGTCGAAACACAGGACTAAGAGGGGCGTGAACTGTAAGAGGATGGGAGTGGGGCCATGAAACAAACATTCGTTGAAAGCTGGACATTGTCATATTCCGCTTTCGTCCTCGTCACTTCCCTCCCATGTTGATCAGTGTCAGTCAGGATCTGGGTCGAACTGTAAGGGCATCACACTGTATGGACTTGCGATGATCCAGGCCGTCAGCTGCCCGCGCAACACCAAAGTCGACTCCCTAGTAACACACGAGACAAAACCGACGGCCGTTCTCAAACCGAGTAACATGAGGAAAAGTACGATTCATATCTTCATGAGACACGTCTTTCACCCGCGGGGAGATGATGGCAGCGTACGAGACCACAACTGTGGCTGTGACAAGTGTTACACCTCCCAGATGATGACCTGGGACAAGGGAAGAGGACAAGGGAAGAAACGAAATGATTTCAGCTTCGTCTTACGTTTGAATCAACCAGAAACAATATCCATCAAGCCAGAAGATGCACCATCTTGTTAAGGTAAATCCGTTGTTACATACTTAACCGAGAATACAGACATACACTTTACCCTTGACCAAGCCAACTCCGAACAGAAAGAAATAGTACCGCAAAAGTCAACAAACATGTACCACCTCCAACTCCATTACAGCCGCCAAAGGAGACATCTACTCGCCCCAACTCACATTCATATCAAATTCCGCATCCGAGGCTTCATCCACAGCCAGCATCAAGCTATCCCTCTGCTTCGTCAACTTGGACACCTTACTCTGCATCTCCTTCTTCCTCTCCTTCAACTCCCTCACCAACCTCTCCGCCTTCTCCGCCCTCTTCCGCAACGTCTCCGCCTCCTTCTTTGCCTCCACCTCCCCTTTACCCAGCCCATTCAACAAGGCATCCCTCGTGTGTGACAGCCTCTCCATCTCCGCTTTCAGGGTACGGATCTGCTCCTTTTGGGATCCCATCTCGGAGTGCAAGTCCAGATTCTCCTGCTGGATCTTGCTCGCCTCGCGCAGCTTGCGGTTGTACTTCATCTCCAGCTCGGACGCGCGCGGCGGGTAGCGCGGCTGCACCGTCGCCATGATGGTCGGCTGGGTTTCCAGCAGGCGCGTGTGCTCCACGCCCGGGTGGACAGCGTGGGCGGGCACGACGAAGAGGACGCTCCTGCCTGAGTTGGCGAGGCGGTAGTACCGCGTGGTGACGTCCACTTGCACGATCCCCCGGCTGAAGTAGGCGCCGATGAGGTCTCCGTCGACTTTTTCCATTTGGTCGAAGAGGCTGTTGTTGTTGTTGTTGTCGTCGGTGCCGTTGTCAGCGCCGGCACCCGTCTGTGGGTTCTTGTGCCACATTTCTTCTCCGACCGCGCCATTTTTGCGCCAGACTCGCTCCTTGGCCTGCAGGACCGCCTCGCGCTTGTCGAGCAGGCTGTGGATGTACTCGTAAACGTCCTCCCCGGAGTTGACGAGGATGTACTGGTCCTGTGGATAGGCCACCACCCGGCCCGTCCGGCCGTCGGGCCCCAGCTTGCTGAGCACCTGGTGCGGAATGGCTGCTTCGCCGGCCAGCGCGTCGAGCGCGTTGCCGTAGCTGCGCTCGAGCTCGTGCATGCGCGCGACGAGGTGCTGCGTGAAGAGAAGCCATTGGCCGAGCAAGGTGGTGCGCGCGTGTTGGAGCTCTTCGGTGTCATGGGCCGCGTCGGTGGGGAGCACGCTCAGCAAACCGCCGGTGGCAGTGTACTCGTGGTCGAGGCGCTCCAGGCAGGAATTGGTGTGAATAAGCAGATTTTGGAGATTGGAGTAGGGGCGAAGTTCCCTTGGCTGGTTTTCCTGGCCGGTAGTGGTATTGGAAGTTACGGGGGGCGAATAGTGCTGGATCTGAGTCAAGGGGCAGTGGTAATCGGTGCCGTACACCTCATTGCGCCCACGGACTTCGTTGATCAACGAGACAAGGGGCTTGTGGTGGTAGATATCGTCAGTGTGGTAAGGTGTGCGAAGGTCGTTGAGGAAATCGAAAGCTGAGTTCAGTTCGAACTTCATGGCGAGATCGTCGTCGGCCGATGAGGCACTGGTCGTACCCTTACCCTTGGAACCTCCCTGGGCAAAGTCGCTACTGGCAAAAGGAGCGCCATCAACTTGAATCTCGGCGACCTTGACGTCTGGCTGCAGCAATTGGATGAGGGCGCAGAGAGATTGGGCATGTTGCTTCAATGCAAGGAGAGTGGGCGGAATGCCATGCGTGGAGAGATAGCCACAGTTTATATGGCGGAGTAGCTCGCTCTTGACGTCCTCATCGTTGATTCGTGACCACTGCGACATGTAGGGAAGCGCATAGTCTGTTGCTTTGACGTAGCCCTTTAGTCCTCGGTTTTCATCGTGTTCGTGGTCCGCCAAATGAGCGGCCACAATCTTTCGTCCTGGTGGTGTCATGGTGTTGGAAGGTTGGTGATGTTGATTCTGGTCGCGATGAGGACTGGCTCTCTTTGCTTGGCCGTCTGAATGGTGACAAAGTTGAAGTTGAACAACAGGTTTCTTCTAAAAAGGCGATTACCTCCTACCATAAGTTGTGCCTTTTCTTCCATTGGCATTGAGATGGTTCATTGTCTCCTCGGCCATACAAGCCAACAAAGAGCCGCAGTCCTTTGCAACGTCAACGAGGCATTGTCTGGCAGAGCTAGCCGATGCCAAATGCAGCTGTAACAAAGAAAGTGGAAACGGAGCTGTAAAGAATAAAGGCGACGGAAACAGCAGAGAAGCTTGCCATCATGTGCTTTGTTAGTGCTCAAGGAGCCGGATCGGTGAGTTATGTAAGGGATACACTCGAACTCCGTGAGGTGCGCAGGCCCGTTACCAAATCAACCACATCGTTATTCCGGATAACTTTCACAAGGTAATTCCTATGTGGTTTCCTCGACATAGCGACCCGTCTGTTCCATACTGTAGTGCGTGGACTTGCTCAGGAGGTCGAGATGCTTGTGCCACTTTCACTTTGCCGTTGTTCAAGTGCAATTCTAAACGCCGTTTGACATCTTTTGAGACATCTCTTCATGGTCAGTCATCTCGGTGTAACCTACTATCGAATCTTGAGGGATGTTGATCCTCTAGTGTGACCGCTCGCGAGCTTTGGGGGACTGTAACACAGTCATGAGGCCTCCTCAACATTGACACAACTGTTGAGCACTCTGACCAGTCTGGCTCGAATCCCGATTCCTGAGCACCAAGGCGATGTGAGATATTCCATAATAATGGCATAACCGCAGGCTGTTGTCGTAAAGCACTCGTCGTCGAGAGTCTTGTGTCAAAACCGTCCGTGTGGCTTCAGGATCTTGAAGGTGTTGAGACCGAGTGCCGCGGACATGTCGCCGGCCTCATTCGCTAGAAAGGAATCGTGTCCGTGTGTTTGCTTTGCGATGAGAACTCCCGAGCCATCGGTTCAAAGGATCCGAAAGCGGGACCCATAACCACGAGGTAGGTAGGTAATCTTAAAAGCTGTGGAGCTTGGATTTGCGCACGCTTCTGGGCTTGACCGGCTCACATGTACACACTTGTCGCATTCCTTGTTGCAGGGCCACGTCATGCTGTGCAGGGAAAGAGTGGAAGTTCGGAAATGATAAACACAAGATGGCAAATCCGTCGCCTCCCAGACAAAAAGTTGAATGTCCCCTCAGCTACCATGCGCAAGCTGTTTTGGCGGTCCATCGTAGTCTGGATGACTTTTCAGTGAGAAATCTATCGCGATACGGACAAATCATGTGAGACTGAAGAAAAAAACCAAGCAGAGAGTTCAATACCCGGGCAATTTCTTTGCCGTGTCATCCAGTGGCTTTTGACGCGGTCGTGCATGCCCCCAATCGACCATCACAGCTGAAAGCTGCAGTAGCGCGGGGTGCGGAAGTGGAGCCCTCTGCCTAGTGCACAATTTGAATTGGAAGACCAATCTTGTCCAATCACGAGTCGGCATATCATCCAATTTAGTGTAGCGTACTATGTACTGTGTACATTGACCCTTCTCCGGGCCTCCTCTGATTCTCATCAGATGTACACTATAGTAGTAGTGTGCACTAACACTAAATGGAAGACATTGACGGTGACCGTCGTCGACGGCAGCGGCGGGAGATACTTCATCTCTACGGTATCGGTGAGTGGGTTGTGGCCTTGTCCCGGATGATTGCCCTTCGGGTTGACAAAGATTGACAGAGCCCAGACAGTCGGTTCTGAAACAGATGTTCATCGACATGGTCGCTGGCGCACCCTTGTTTCGGAAACACTGGTTGCACATCACTCTTTCACTATGGCTCCGACGTAATAGGCTAGCAGTGACAAGAGGTTGATGAGAGAAGCGCTCACGGCTTTCGGCACCCCGATGATGAGAACCAATCTTGGAATGACGGAAAGCGCCGCCCGTTTCAATGTCGGTCGGGCGCTACTTATCATTTCTACTCTCATCAGTCAGTGTCGTTGTGGTGGTAGTCATTCGCCGTCATCTGAAAGTATACGGTAGTTGGATGCAGCCAAGTACCATAGTATGTATCCTACGCGGTGAGTTAGTATTTGCTGTCTTGACCTCCGTCAGAGGCTGAAAAGGAAGATGAGCGCAGGCTCAGTCAGGTTGGCATGGGTCAGTGGGACTGAGTGCGATGGCAGTGAATTTGCTAGTGGCAGGATCTCAGGTCGGGTTTCACGATTGCGGTGATCTAGACCGTGCCTGCCATCCCTACTCAACGGTGGACACTGCCAAGTACCGGGGCTGCCTTAGCCAATTATGAGCGGTTTCTTGCGCCATACGCCCCACATCGTCCGAACTTGATCAAGTCGGCGGGAAGGAATGAAAGCAATATTAGGTACTATGTGTGTACTGCGTGCAGATTTCCATCGCGCGCGTTGCGTCATTGGAGATGTCACCCTCCTCTTGGATTTTCTTTGGCGACTACGTAAAACTTGATCATGGCAAGAGCTTGAGGCTATGCTATGACAGAAGGCGCACACAAAGAAGAAACGGGAAACGATGGCCTAGGTAGCTTGAATATCAAAGCTTGGCTTCATCATTGGGCGTCCGACGATTTTCTTATGTTGGTTGATAGGGTCCAAGCTCCTTCCTCGTTTGCTCCCTTGGATCATGAACACCTTCCGTTTCGCTTCACCAAGTGGGTATTTTGGCAGTCCTTGTCGATTCCCCTTACATTGCCGTGGAACATTGAAGACACCGTACGGCGCACATATTGCGTTGCCTTGCTTCAGTTTTTTGCGCTTGCGTGTGCAAAAGTTGCGCACTCGTCACCCAATTCTTTCCTACCGACGACCTTAATCAACAACGCGAGTCACACAACAAACGAGACAAGCTAAGACGAAGCCAAGCACGGCAGTCTCAAAACACCCCCGGTTCAAGAAATAGCGTGAGTCCATTCCTCCACCACCTCTCGTTGCTTTCAATTTGCACTTATCCACATGGCCGCCCCCCTGCCATCTCCAGCGTCTCCTTTCCGTTTTTCATTCAAAAAGGTCAGATCTCACCCGCCAGGGACACTCGAAAGCTGATCTCTGGAATCTGGAATCAGGGTATCAAGGTACCACTGCCGGAGGTAGCTATCCAGAAAGATACACGGGTGCAACCTTCTTGACCACCCAGAAGCTGCCCTGTCCTGGTTCCTTGCTTCTTCTACCGTGGTGGCCTGCAACCTAACGACGTAAATGCCCAGCCCTCCTCCCTTCATGTTCTCCTCCTCCCCTGGTCATCACATCACTCTCCCGCCACCCTCACTTTTTATCTGCTGCTTGTCTTTTCCTTCCATTCTTTCGTCTTCACTTTTCATCCACATGGCCCTTCTTCTAACAACTCGAGTTGCAGTGGCCCAACCCTCCTCAACCCTACCTAGTCCCAGCTCCCTCTGCTGGTGAGCTTGGCGTCAGCAACAACTGAGCACACCGAACTCGAATACCGACTATTTGACCCACCAGATTGAGGAAACGAAATACCTACATTAATAGTTTAAAGCGGGTTATCCTGCGAAACCGCCAAAATGAGCGACATACCTAGTAACACCTCCAACACGGATGAGGCCAAGGAGCCAGTATCGCTGTCGGGTAGGTACATAAATAAAGAAACGATAAAAGGAAATGTCTAGAATATGGGCAGTGAAACTGACTGTGAATCAATGTAGGCATGATTGTGACCTTGGTCCCGATCCTCATCACATCCGCAATCTACATAGCGATTTTCTTGGTTTTGCGCAAGAGCAACCGAAGATACTATGCTCCCAGAACCTACCTAGGCAGTCTGCGAGAAAATGAACGATCACCAAGCTTATCAAGTGGCCTTTTCAGCTGGGTCAAAGATTTCTGGAAGATACCCGACGTTTACGCCCTTCAGCACCAGTCGCTCGACGCATACCTGTACATCCGCTACTTGCGCATGGCCGTCACCATCTGCTTCGTCGGTTGTTGCATCACCTGGCCCGTCCTTTTCCCCGTCAACGCCACCGGCGGTAACGGCTTGAAACAGCTGGACATCTTGACTTACGGCAACATCAACCGCGAGACACAATACAACCGCTACTATGCCCACGTTTTTATTAGCTGGATCTTTTTCGGTTTCGTCATGTACCTCATCATGCGAGAGTGCATCTTCTACATCAACCTTCGCCAGGCCTTTCTCATCAGTCCTCTTTACTCCCAACGCATATCGTCCCGTACTGTCCTCTTTACTTCGGTCCCAGAACCCTACCTCGACGAGCAAAGGTTGCGCAAGGTCTTTGGCGCCTCGGTCAAGAATGTGTGGATCACAAGCGAAACCAAGGAAGTCGACGAACTGGTCGAGGAGCGCGACAAGGTTGCCATGCGCCTCGAAAAGGCTGAGGTCAAGCTGATCAAGCTTGCCAACAAGATCCGCCGAAAGGCCATGAGCAAAGGTGATGTCAACGACGTTGACAAGCAGGCCCCCCTGGATGCCGAGTCCGGTAGCATTGCGGCCCGCTGGATCCCTAGGAACAAGCGCCCGACTCACCGTCTTGGACCCTTGGGCCTGATCGGCAAGAAGGTCGACACGATCGACTGGTGTCGCGAGGAGCTTACGCGTCTCATTCCCGAGGCTGAGGCAGCTCAGCACAAGTACCGCGATGGAGCCTTCAAGAAGGTCCCCGGCGTTTTCATTGAGTTCAGGACCCAGGCCGATGCTGAAGGAGCTGCCCAGATCCTGGCCCATCACCGGGGACTGCACATGACGCCCAAGTACATCGGTATCCGTCCCAATGAGATTGTGTGGAAGTCGCTAGCCATTCCTTGGTGGCAGCGTGTCATTCGTCGCTATGCCGTCTATGCCTTCATTACCGCCATGATTATCTTTTGGGCCATTCCTGTGGGTGTTGTTGGCATCATCAGCAACGTCAACTACCTTAAGACTATCTCATTCCTGACATGGCTCAACGATATCCCCGGCTTCATCTTGGGCGCTGTTACCGGTTTGCTGCCCTCCGTCGCTCTTTCCATCCTCATGTCTTTGGTCCCGGTCGTCATCCGTATCTGTGCCAAGCTCTCCGGCGAGCCCTCGCTCTCCCGAGTCGAGCTGTTTACTCAGCACGCTTACTTCGCTTTCCAGGTGATCCAGGTGTTTTTGGTGGCTACTGTCGCCTCATCTGCCACTGCCGTCGCGAAGCAAATTGCCGACAATCCGGGCTCGGTGACGAAGCTCCTTTCCGAAAACTTGCCAAAGTCTTCCAACTTCTACATTTCCTATTTCATCGTACAGGGCTTGAGCATTGCGACTTCGGTCTTGACGCAGGTAGTCGGCTTTTTCGTCTTCAACCTTCTGTACAAGTTCCTTGCCAATACCCCTCGTGCTCTTTACACCAAGTGGGCGAACCTAAGTGCCATTTCCTGGGGTAGCACCATGCCAGTCTATACCAACATTGTGGTCATCGGTTAGTTTTCCCTGCCCCCTCCACCATACATGCACCTCACTAACTCAATTTACAGCCATTGCGTACGCGACTATTGCTCCTCTTATGCTGGGCTGGGCTACGGTCGCTATGGGTTTGTTCTATCTCGCCTGGCGCTACAATGTCCTGTTTGTCACGGACACTCAGATCGATACGCGAGGCCTCATTTACCCTCGTGCCATCAAGCAGCTCTACACTGGCATCTACCTGGCTGAAATTTGCATGATTGGCCTCTTCGGTGCCTCTGTTGCCCCCGGCCCGCTTGTCCTGATGGTCATCTTCCTCATCTTCACTATCCTCTTCCACATGAGCATGAACGCTGCCCTCAACCCGTTATTGTATAATCTTCCTCTTACTCTCCTTGCGGAGGAGGAGGGCCCTCTGCTCGACACTCCCGTTGACTCGCATACCGCCGAGAACGGGCTTGGTGGCGAATTGCGCAATGGCGTTAGCCCGACAACTGGCGCTAACTATACCGAGAAGGTTCCGTCGAACGGTACCAACGGTGCACAGAGCCGCGCGGAAGATCCTATTCTTGGTGCGAAGGAAGCCCTTGATGCTTCGAGGCACCAGCCCAACCACGTGACGGGCAAGAAACCCAACTTCTTGGTCAAATTCCTCAAGCCTTGGATCTACTCCGACTACGACACCCTGCGGGCTTTCCTCCCTAGGGGTGTCCAGCTCGATCCGTACACCGAAGAGGTTGAAAGAGATGCGTACTGCCCGCCCAACGTCACGTCGGATGTACCGCTTCTTTGGATCCCCAGCGATGCCAATGGTGCCGGTGTGTCTCGCCAGGAGGTTGAGCACACAAGCCGAGTCGTCGCCATCACGGATGAGGGCTGCGAGTTGGATGAGAAGGGACACTTGGTTTGGGATCGGGAGGGAACTAGGCCTCCTATTTGGGAGGAGAAGATCTACTACTAAAAGTAGATCCATTTTGTCCAACGCCTTTTGTTTGTTTCCTCGGTGGAGGCACGATCAACCTAATAACCTGACGTTGCCCATGGTTTGGATTGGAACCTTGGTCTTTCGAACTCTTTATACCCGGCATACTGGCCTCCCTACCTAACGAGAAGTAATTATTTTTCTCAACTGATTGTCTGTCATGGCCTTTGTCTTAATCATTATTCGACTATGGGGTTTTGTCTGTTGCAAGCTTGGAGTAAAACGATGGTCGGCATTTGTCGCTAAAAAGAGATGATATCGATTCCGAATTGTTTACTTAATGAGATGTCATGAACCCGGGGGTTTAGAATACACCTACGCAGTATGGTCTCAAAGTGTTTCAATATAAGCTGATTGATACCCTGCTGCACGAAATGGTATATAACATAAAAATGCAAATTGCTCATGAAAATGATTCCTCCTCCACCTGAATGAACCAAACCAGCCGGCTAGCCCCCTTCGGGCCTATCGATAGCCACCCTGACCTCCATACGGATATGGCGCATGCCTAACCAGTCCAACACTATCATCCTCGTCTCGTGGCCCAGGCAGAGGATCATAGTACCCGCTGCTCTGGTTTCTGTACATACCTGGTCCCCCATGATACGTCATCGTACCCCCACCGCTACCACCAGCGTTGCGGCCCTCATAATAATGATGCTCATCAACCGAAGCAGCAGACCCGCTTCGTCCTCGTCGTTCATACTCCGCCCTCGGCATCCCTCCGCCCGCACCCAAATCCAAGCTATCAAAGCTTTCCGTCCTCACCGCATGGGCACCTCTATAACTCGTATCAGGTACGCGCCCATGCCCATCATGTCCATACACCACCCCATGCGCATAATGGTGCTGATGCGCCTGCGCCGGCGCTTCCAAGTCCCCTACTGCTACTCCCGTCATTGTCAATGTCTCCTGTGGAAGATGTTGATGTTGATGATGAATATCCACCTCGCTCATGGTCGTCATGGACGAGTCGCTGCTCTTTTGTCTCCCTCGGGTGCTGGCGCCCCGCAGAGGAATGCTGTTTCCCAGCGGGTGACTTTCCTTGTCCAGATGGAGATAACTCACGTCCCTCTCGCGCTTCTTGACGCCCACGAATAACCACCGGATGCCTCTGCCGAACCCCTTGACCACGTCCCAGATGTTGATGGCGTCCCAGAGGGCGAGGATGCCCATGGGTCCTCCGTGTTTTGGGGCAGGGCCGGTGAAAGCCAAGTCGCCGCCGCCGCGGGCGGTGGTGTATGGTTTATAGGGGAATGCCCAGAGATGCAGGATGGCGAAACAGGCCATTTCGAAACAGAGGAGTAAAGAGGGGATGCCGACTTTGATGTCGGGATAGGCCAAGATGGAGTTGGGTTCGACGATGTGAATGGTTTCCGAGGTGGCTACCGAGATGGCGACGGATTGCCAGAAGGAGAGGAAGATGACAAGTTTGATGGCGAGGACTTTGAGGAAGGGTTTTTGGGGGGAGAGTTGCGGGGTGGAGCGCAACTGGACGTAGAATTGGATGAGGGCGTACATGGCGATGGTGACGGCGATGGATTGGATTGCTGTGATCTGTTTTTAAAGGGGAGTGGGTTAGATGACCAAGATAGAAGGTGCGAGAGAAGAGAGGGAGGGAAGACACGACATACCCAAATATGCCCAAACATGGGCGAATTACTACTCTCGCAATACCGTCCATAATACTGACTCAAGACGGCCGCAACCGTCATGGCCACTCTCACAAAGCAGTAATGATAGACCCCAATCCAGATAATGTTAAACCATGTCAGCCCACTCCTCGGCGTCCTCCAGGGACCCTTCCTGTGCCCGCCACAGCACTTGGCCATCCAGTTCAGCGGGAACACCCAATCTTTAATAGGCTGCATCTCGCGGAAGTAGTCCTTTTGCAAATGCAAATCGGGCGCGATGTAGTGGCATATCAAGCTGAAGAAGGAGCTAATGGCGAAGGCCTCGTAGCAGTCGCTGATGACTTGGAAGTAGATGGCGTGGTAGTAGTAGCGTAAGGACAAAAAGGAGGAGCAGGCGTAGATTGGGACCATGAATAAAATACGAATGATTTGCTTCTGCTCGTTGGGAACGGTGTAGTTGGTCGCGTGTCGCATGATCAGGTAGAAGCTCATAGCTATGGCTACCAGGGTCGAGGCGGCGGCGATTATGAGGGCGAGGGAGTGGAAGGTTAGGGGCCCGGCTATGGGACGTTCATCGCCAGGGTGGACTATGTGAACGTAGATGGGTTATTAGTGACTTGGTCTTCTGGAAAGGAATAGGTTCGAGACAGAACCTACTTCGTAATTCCTCCAACGTGGTGTTGCAGAATGAGGAACCCATGATGGGCGATTATCGGCTTGCGCGGCCGTTTTTGGCGCAAGCAATAATACTTTTTCGTTTTCTGTTTTGATCGGAAACGTCGTGGTTTATGGGTAAGGAAAGATTCGGCGAGTTTGCAAAGGCCGCAGGATCGTGTTGGATACGTAGTAGACCAGGGCAAAAGGCGAATCGCAATTCGTTAATGAATATACTTCCAGAAACTTCCGTTAAGCCTTCCTTCTTTTCAAGAAATTCGTTGCATCAAACGTCTCGTTACAATCGGATGTTTCCAACTTATTTTCATGCGCGTCAGAGTTGCTTGCCGGGCGCAATGCGATCGATGTCCCGAACGTAATGACCAGCACCTATCGATACAATAGGTAGGATGCAAAAAGTAAGGTATGCGAGTAATAGTCCTCCCCCTAGCAAATTCCAACTCGTCCCGTTGGACTCGTCCTTTGTGAAAAAGAAAAACCCGTCATTCAACAGCGCATTCCGCGCTGTGAGACTTCAGATTGATTTGACTACGCCGCCAAATTGCGCAGCCGAAATTGGGTGTTGGAAGGGAGGGGCCGGAGCGGGCAGGTTGGTTAGCTCACGCGCCGCGGGTGTCTTCGTTGGTATCGATCTCTGAAATGCTATGGCGCTCAAAGCTGGAATATCGAATTTCGTTGTCGTTCTCGTTCGTTCACCAGCCAACAAGCAGCCGGAAGAGAAAAAATATTGAAGCAGTGAAGAGAACAAGAAGTGGTGGTAGTCAAGAATGACACATCTGGATTGCTTGGTGAAATTTCGTTTGGTTCGCGGGGATAGTTTCGGAAGCTGGAAGAAGGCCGAGTGCGCAACAATCCGTCGATAAGGGAAGTTGAAGGAAGAAGGGAAGAGCAACTGAACCTAGAAGGAAAGGAAGGATGAAGAAGAAACAAAACGACAGGCAGAAAGATAGAGGTAGGTAGATGATGGCGAAAGGAAAGAGTGAGTGACAGAGGGAGTAAGTAGACTGAACGAAGTGAGACCGAAGGTGGGAGTGGAAAGTGTTTTGTCATTCAGGTCCATCCATTCCTCTCCAGGGCATCATCTGAACCCTGCACTGCCCTATCTAGCGCCGTAATAGCCGTGGAGCGAACGCGAATCCCATCCATGCCTCCTGCTAAGGTAGTGTAATTGTACTCGCCGGCCCAACACCAGCCAGGGCACTGCACTATAAATGAACATGTGACTGCGCCACATTGAATATGCACGAAATTCTCTACCCCATAGGGTACCGCGCGTCTTCACTGCCTTCAAAAAAAAAAAAAAAAAAAAAAAAACCTCGCGACAAACGGGATGGATGGATGGATGGATGGATGGAACGCTCGGGAAGCTTATCCATTTCATCCTCAATGAGAAGTTGGGATGATCAAGCCCATCGCCCACATCATTTCCCTGCTCGTGACTGCTCGTCCCGCTCCTTGTGTCTGCGCCATGCCGCGCACCGAACATCGTCATTCGATTTTATCTTTCTGATACCCAAACCTCTTGTGAAACCCGTGTCAAATCCAAATGTCCATCCATTCGTTCCCGCATGCAACCCCACTGCCTTTCGGATGAGGCGGGGATGGGGCCAGAAAGCTACGGTAGGCAGCTTGAGCATAAACTGGATGCACACCCCTAGAACCCCTGCTGCAAGGGTCCATCTTGGCCCCTGAAATTCCCCTCTTGCCGATCCCTGTCGCGTTCCTGAATTGCTTCGCCAAGAAAAAACGCCTCAACTGTAAAAGGGTCGGGTTGCCTTGTTGGACGAAACTTGAGGCTCGCCAGCTTTCTCGGCGCCAACTACACCTGACGACTTTCTCTCAACTCTGTTATAAGCCTCGCGAGAGAGGGACACAGACAGACCTGACAGATTACGCATGAACCAGTTGGATTATCATCTTTTGCGACTGCTAATCTTCGCTTCACTACCTCTACACCACTGGCAAATACATAAACCCTCCCACGCCGCTCGCTCACTTGAAGCTTCGCTGTTCCTCTGCACAGGCATCATGGACTATAAGTCTAAATCCCAGCCTAATGCAGCCCGAGCCGCTGCAAACACAACGCGCGCCGCGTTGCCGAGTCGCTGACCAACCTCTCCCTCGTCAGCCTGATCGCCAATTGGTGGCACCCGCGTCTCAGGTGTAGGGTCTTGATCCCTTATTCTGTGAGATAGCCTGGTGAACAGGTTTGGGCGTTGCTCGCCACCTTCACCACCTTCACCACCTTCACCACCCCCACCATCTTCACCATCTTCACGACCCTGTCCACCTTCATCATTTCCATCACCCCCGCTGTTACGGCGTTCCCAGACTCTATTGACCCCTGACCGAATAAACCTCCGAACATTGTCAATGCGTTCCCGGTCCCTGATTGCCTGTTGCCGAAAAAACTCCTCATTATTCTGTTCAATACGGTCTCGCCTTAGAGCTGCCGCTCTGTTCTTGGCTTCCTTTGACGACAATGGCGTCTGAGCTGGAGTTCCTGATGACTGAGCAGTCACCATTTCCTGCGTCAATCTCACGGGCTGCGCATGGGTTTGCCGTGCTGTGTCTAGCGGGGCTCGCCTTGTGAAATTGATCCTTGATGGCCCGCGTGACGAACCATGAACTTGTGCTTCTGTCTGCTGAGCGCCTTGTTGAGAGGCGCCATGTGGTCTAGAGGCAGCGCGCTCAACTCCACTCGACATGGATTGAGATGAAGCAGCCTGAGATGGACCAGCCTCAGATAAACCACTCTGAGTTAAGCCCGCCTGAGATGAGCCAGCCTGAGATGCACCAGACTGAGTTCCATCAACCTCCTCGTCTATGATCTGGAGGTACCGGTCTGAGCGGTCTGAAAACAATTTCTTGACAGCCCGTCCCACCATTTGTCGCTTTCCTTCACGCCTAGGAAGAGGCGGGGGAGCTTGAGGGTGGGGAGGACCGGGCAGGACCACTTCTTCTCTGATGCGCAACTTGTCAAACGGCTTGCGGATCAATTTCTTGATTTTGCGTGTGATTGAACGTTTCTTGGCTTCCTCAGGTAGTGGCTGGTCGTTGTCTTTCGAACCTTGTGCCGCTCTCAACAAAAGTGCCTGTTCATCGCCTGGCTCGTTGTCCTCCGGGGTTTGTGGCCCTGCCAACTGAGCTTCCAACTCATCCTCAGGCTGGTTGTCCTCCCACAGAGAAGTGTTTGGAGAGATGACTGCTGATAGACCGCCCCTGAGTTCGCAAACAGGAGTGGAATGCCCATCCATAATCACCATCCGATGATGCCTTTCTGGTCTTTTCTGAGCCGAGAGCCTCTTCTAGTAGCTGTAGCCCCCTTTCTTACTGTGTCCACTGTCTTCGTCACCTTCCATCAGCCCGTCTAGGCTGCCGCCAACTTGGTCCCCTCCGCCCGAGAACCATCCGCCAAAGACGAGCTTGACCAACAGTCTGTCCACACCGCCCACTCGTCTAGGCACATATTCACCAGCTTCTTTGATCTTTTCCTTGCCCGCTTCTTGTTCTGCCCTCCAACCCCTCTTCCTCTTCCGTCCAGCTTGAGCTGTATCAGGAACGTCGTCGGCGAGGAGATAATCATCGGCTCCGTCATCCTCCTCTTCCTCTCCCTCATCAAGCCCACTCGCACGGTCAGAGGCATCTGATGTTGAGAAGGGCGAGGTTTCGATTCTCTTCAGCTCCTGTACAACTTCCTTGATGCCGTTCTTAACGTTGCTGGCAATGGTTTGGAGTTGTGCAGTCAGATCACGTTCCTCCTTTTTCAGATCAACAAAGGCATCGACAACACCCACGTCTTCCTCAAGATCGGCGGCTGCCCAGACTTGTTGCAAGCGATGCATTAGCGCGACCAGGTGGTCAATATTGACGAGTAGTTCGTATAGAGGTTGGGTAAAGGATTCGAGGGTAAGAAGAAGGCGTCTGAGTAAGGCGCGAAGGTAAACTCGGTGGGCGGTAGCGAGGGTCTGGGGGTCACGGGGTTGGCGATTAGGATCAGTAGAATTGGTAGGTGCAGGAGGAGGGTTGGCAGCGGTGTTGAGCCAAACATCGGACTCTTCCAAATTCCCCTCGGCGTGAGACTCATCTTCAACCATGTCAATGTCGTCGCCATCAACTTCGTCGTCGTCGTCATAGCCACCCATGGAGACATCATCATCCCATGTCCTCTTTGAGCCGAAGCTGCGTTTGGATAGTCTCGAGTCTCTCCCTCTCCCTCTGGTCAAACTCGCGCCAGTAGAGGCTCGGCTTCTTCGTCCAGTAGAAGGTCTGCTTCCCATCCAGTCAGCTCCGTCCTTCTTCTTCTTCTCCTCAGAAGTCCGGTTGCCGTTACCGCCGTGGAGCCAGTCCTCGAAGCCCTCGGTCAGGCCTTCCACCACTTCGCCCTGGAAGTATGCTTCGGTCTCGCCTAGGAAGAAGATGGCCGCGCTGGCGGTAGCCCACGCGGTACGCAGTGTCTTTTCACGCTTCTCAACCCGTTCTCTAAGCGCCTTGACACGCATTCTGCTTCTACCTATGCGCGGAGGCGCAGGATGATGCCGTCTCAGACTAGTAATCTTCCACAGATCTGTCAACCGTAAGTGAGCCCTGCGCAGTGAAAGGAGATAGCTGTTGATAGCCGTGTATGTCTGGACATCATGAGGACTGAGGAATAAGTCCAGTGGGGAGGGTATGTTCATCGTCAAGATGGTGGGGGCCGAGAATAAAAGGTTGCGGAACGGCGTCTTTGCGATTTTCAACGACCCAATTTCTTCGGCCACGGCGGCGGCTGTGGGTGTCATTGTCGGTAAACCTCTGGAGGAGTTATCCGTGGTGTACTTGGGGATCGTCAACCGGACATGATCCCTGGCAAGTTCTAGCCCTTCATCCTCTTCGGACTGAAATTCGCCCTGAAGAGCGCCCATTGCTTGCCATACGCGGGTGAGCACGCCAGCTACTTCGCCCTCTTTGACAACAACGGTGCCGGGATTGCCACCCGCTGCAGCACCGCCAGTATCGCGGGACTTCTCGTAAGCAGACAAGTTTTCGGCTCGTCGCCACCGGCTTCGCATCTTCTCATCAGCTTGCTGGGTGAGTGCCAAGGCGAATTCTCCCCGCCGGAGAAGAAAAAAGTCCCGAAGCAGCTGGAGGTATTTTTCCACATCACTGAGCGGGAGCAGCTGTGCCAGAGTCGTTCTTGAGAGATACTGTCTGATCTCGGTAATGGTATTCGAAAAGGTTGCCGGGTCAATCGGATGCGACAGGGTAGAAAGCTTGGTCAGTTGCGTTGAGAGGTGATCGGTCCCCTTGAGGCTCGAGTCTTCCACACTTTTGGCGCGGATCTGGCGCAGAGATCTCCCGATGAAGAGCATAGAGGCTGCCGTAGATCGCGTGACGAATTTGGGAAGAAGCTCTTGCACGCACAGAAACTGTTCTTCGCCATCATCATCCTCCTCTCTCCACACAAAGAAGTCATCAGCCCCAAAGTCTGGCAACCGTCCATACAACACCCACGCAGAGACTTGCTTTAGCCACGCTGTCTCGGCCACCTTGACCAGGTTCTTGACGACTTCTTCGATATCCTTGTACCCGGTCTGCATCAACTCCCTCAGCCGGTTGATCACCATAGGGCCTGAATGCACTGGCGGCTCACGTTTCCTAGTCGCCGAGCTACTGTGCCCCTTTTGAGCGGGCCGATGGGTCAAGTCATGGGGTTGACTCCCTTCCCACTCCATCTGGTCGACACTCTCCACATTCTCCTTTATTCCCTTCATCAACTGGTTCACAAAGCTCCCTAGCCATTCCATGCGTCGGTTCCACTCATCGAACTCGCCGACCACGGCCGTCAGCGGCACAATGTTGTAGGCACCCACAAGTGCGGCATCTTTTTTCAGTATTGTCTCTTCCACTTGCAGCACCTTGCGCTGAAAGGCAGCAAGATGGTCATTTCGAATGGCCGTGGCAATAGCACGGCAGATGATGGAGGGATGGGATGTGCTGATGCGAGCTGTATGAGAGAGCAGGTTGATGTGGAGCTCTGAAAGGTTGGCAAGCTTGGAGAGGAGGGCGCGTTCGGGTGGGGTGAGGGCCGACTTCAGCGGGGAGTCATTGGAAGTTGTTGAGGTGGCTGCGGCTTGTTGGAGGAGAGGTGAAGGGTGTCCTGAGAGGGAGAGGAGAATTTCGTGGAGCATTGTGACGGATTTGCTCTTGATGTTGACGTTGAACTTGAGGGTGGTGTCGAAAAGAGGGACGGTAGACGACTAAAGCGGAAGGGCGACAGCTGTTAGTATATGAAAGACCACAGCGAGCGAACATTTTGGTGCTGCTAGAGGTCAGTACAACTTACGGTTTCTCTAACGGGTGCGGAGATTCGTCGTCCTGCGACTGTGATTGCCGTCTAACAAAGGCCTGATAGAGAAGTATGAGGGTCCCGAAAATCTCGAACCTGCAGCACATGAGGTGTGTATGCCTGAGCCACGGCAGCTAGAATCGACCGTCTAGACTGCTAAATGTAGGTGCTGCAGCGGGGTGTTGATCATCCCGCCGTAGGTAGGTAGGGACGACAGCGTTGTGTTGACACTAAAACCCCCAAAAAGGTGATGTGTAACGGAAGTGGGGACAGTATGGTTGGTGTATGTAGTCAAGCGACAGTGAAAAGGAGTTCCAAAAACGGGAAACTTGAAGTTACGAAGACATAAACGATGGTGAATGCTCAGTAGTAGAAGCTTGGTGGTAGCATTTTAAGTTGTCTCGCTTCTTGGGCTCTGATCAAGTCGTGGGTTAAGGGCACTTATGTACCCAAGAACAGACAGATGGAATTGGTCGTTCGTGCCTGTTTGTCTGTAACTGAACCTGAAGTTGCTGTTAAGGTAAGTAGACGGAAGCCTCAATCGGATTGAACTGAAAGTGATTTAGGCCGAATTGCAGGCGATCGCGATCCGTTCGGACGCGTTGAGAAACCACGACAGGGGATGTCGTGGTCACATGACATCATGGGAACCTTGAGGGTCAGATAAGAAAAAAGAGTGGCAGATAAGAAGTTATCAAACAGCAAATTCCCTCCCTAATCTAGTGTACAGACTAATAGACACCGCATCAAACGTGCACCATCAACACGCAATTTGGTCTTTGCAGTCATTCATTGCAACATCCTTGAAATGCAAACAGGTATAGTGGGTATTTGAAGGAGAAACATAACTAATCGAACATCATCAGCAGTGCAGTTGTGCCTGCCTCACCAACAGAAATCAACCCCATGTCTCAGACCTCCCTTTCATACCAGCCGGTTGCTTCCCACCCCTAGTGCTTCCCGGTGAGGTCCTTCCTGCCCTGTTCATCGGATCGCTGTTCATTCCTCCTTCGCCCGGACTCAGTACTCCCCCATCACCGCCTCCTACCGTCACTACTCCTCCGTCTGCCGTGCGACCCACCACCATGCCCTTTGCGACACTCTTGAGAATCGCGCGCCTCGAAACACCCGTGACATCAATATACACCAGACCGACGTTTTTCACTCCGCCACCGAGACTCCTAGATATCTCGCCCGCTTCGGGACCCCACTTGTGCGCAACTACCGTGGTCGCAGCCTCTGACGTTGACGCAAGCAAGTGCCGACCTGCCTGCTCCACGCCATCCATGACCGTCGAGAAGGCCATGAAGCTCTTGTTTAGCAGTCCCGGCTTGTAGTTATCCAGGGGCTGCCCATCTGGTCCAAAACCCCTGGTTCCCGTCTTTCTAGGCCCGCGACCGCCAAGGGTGGCGCCAAAGTTCTGTGCAAACTTGCCAATCTGTCCTACGGTTTTGGCAGACAAGACGGCTGCGTTTCCAGTAAAGTGGCTGATACGGCGAATGTGTTCGCGCGTGGCTGGCTTGAATTTCATGGGCTCAGCGGCCGGTTGCGCCCTTTTCGTGTAGTTATCGGCTTGGTTCTGCAGAAGCTTGGCAAGCATGTCGGAGCCGGTAATAATGAAGCGCGACGCGGCGGAGGCGTTCGAAACAAGGAATGATCTCTTGTATGCGGGGTGAAGTTCGGCGTCGAACAATTCGGGCGAGGCGGGAGCAACGTTGATCTTTCCGTTGGGCGTAGTCGGGAGCGTAATCTCAACCGGGTCTGTTGACATATAATCTTAGCCAAAGAAATTTGGACAAGTTGAGACAGGGGATGAGGAGCGGCAGTACTAACCTTTCGATCCCGGCTTCAACGCGCTATCTTCGTGAACTTGGTAGCCCTCAGCCAACTCGCCAATGACGCTACCATCGTCCTCATCCACAAGCACGATTTGCCCTGGCGTGGGGTTGCTTCGGCTTCCCTGGGCATATGCCTCACCGGGCCCATAGTCACCAGGGTTGTATGCCGGCAAGTCCTCCGCCACTCCGCCCTTGGATCCTGTTGATGTACCTGTACCACCCTTCTCGTCACTACTCTTGTTGCTCCTTTGATTCAGTCTTGGAGGTGGTGCCCGTTCCAGGAACGCAGTGCATTGCGCAAGAATGGTCTCAAAGGTATCCACGTCCTCCTGTATACCCTTCCTACTTTCGACCGAGGGGAACTCGATCCTTGTAAAAGCACCACTATCGGGTCCGAGATCCCATCTAGGAATCAGGTAGCTCGTGGGAGGTTGGTGGTAGATCTGCGTCGTCGCTGGAAGGGGAAGATCGAGCTCGGGCGGCAGGTGAAGATGCAAGTAAAAGTCCTGTTCTGCGTTTTCAGTGCCCAGTGCCGGGTCCGCAAAGGCAGAGCTTGTTGGCACCATTAGCAAGGAGAGGGTCTGTGGCCCGGCGGGCGTTAACGATTCCTCCTTGCCATTGGCAATGTGGTAGGCTGATACGCCGTTGATGGCGTAGAGCAGCTTGGGGTCCTGTCGGGCGGTTGTCATGTTAGTTCCGGCTCAAAGGACGAACGATGCACTGCGCCGTTGTTGTGGTTGTTTGTTTTGGTATGTTGCTGGTCTGGCACCGTTTGGAAGATTGCTGAATGATGATCTTACGTTGTGACTCGACGCCATTCTCAAGTGAAACTGTAGGTGGTGTGGCAATCTGATTGCTTTATATTTCGTCGAACTTGGAAACGGTTACACGGGACGGGCTTGGTCAAGTGTTGAATGATGTCTTGGGATCGGAAACGACGTAATCGTCTTTCGACTGAGGGTTCCTTGATCACGCTCAGCACGCAGTCGGCGGGCAATGCGCTGCTTCCTTGCCCAGGTGGTTGGCGCAGCTGCGGGGTATCTTGCTGTAAGTGCTATAGCACACCCTCTTGGAAATAAGTCGTGCGATTGGCGGGCGCAAAAGCTGTGATGAACCGAACTTGTTCAAGGTAGGTGTGTGATAGATTAGGATTACAAGCGATCAAGGTTTTAAGGATTCAGAAGAGAGAAAACTGAAGAAAACGTTCGAGCTCAGATATAAAACTTCCTTTGCAAGCGGGGTCAGCTTTGTGACCATGGCGATTCGAGTTTCAAAATAGCAACACCGGAACTTCTTTCCCACCATCGTCCCGCGGTTCCTGGGTAAAAGAGCTAGGGCTTGGTTGCCTCCAGGCGCTTAGAGCTCTCTCCTGTGTGGATCATGCAACAAGAGGCCTCTCGGGCGGGAAGCATCTGCGGCCGACGTCATTGGACCCCACCCACTAGTGTAAGTAACATCATTTTGCGTCTGCTTTTTCATGCCTTCATGCTACATACTTACCTGCACGCTTCTCAACATTACACATCCGTTTGCCACGACGAGGAAAGAGAAAGAACCCTCTATGTGGCTCAGCAGTTGCTCATTGATGCTGTGCGTGGTGATCTCAAGATTGAAAGGCAATTTGGAGGCAAGTAATGTCTGGAGTTCCTTGGCGTGAGAAAGCTTATCGCCATTTGGGTCAGCGGATGGGGTTGCCAAGCATCATGCCGCCGCCGTTGGGACGGGGATCACCGCAGTCTCGAACGTCGGCTCACAGGTTGCCGGACATTTCCAAAACAACATCTCTGTCTGAGGCCCTGGCTGTCTTCTCGTGAAGGTGTATGCAGAAATGCACACAGGGTTGGGGTTGTCTATACCACATCCTTTTTGACCACTCAATTGCACATCACTTCCTAGTCATTAAGTAGAAGAGCACCTACTACCATGGATACCTACGTACTGGACTATAGATTTGATCCAACCATCCATATCGTTGCTGATTTTGCTGATTCAACACGTCTTCATCTGCTAGTCTGTGTTCTAGAACAAATTGCTTGGAGGAGACTACAGTGCTGGGTGCCATGTCACACGACACGGCAGCGCATTGACCTTATGTGTCTCGGAAGCCAACCGCCGAAGGGTAACGAAAGTGCCACTACGACCGAGTGGCTGCACCAAGCCCCGTCCCGGCCGCTGCCAAACAGTCGTACAGGGTAGGTAGCCTGATTGTCTACCGTTCAACGGCTCGAAAAGAATGTTGCAGTCGAGTCCCGGAGTGGCCACTCGCTGAAGGATCCCAATTGTTGCGATTCGTGATCCGGCAACTCGAGGACCATGATGATCTGTGTAAGGGTGTTGGAATGGAAGATTTAAAAAAATTGGTCACGGTAGCCTGCTACCCCCCAAACAATTTCAGTCAAGTAATTGGCCATCGAATGCTGCGCGCCATTATCCTGTCATGAGGCGGATAAGATCATACAGAGTTTTCCTCTAAGGAAGAGATCACTGATGGCCCGTGATGTTGGGAATGGGTATGGAATATATGTTGGGGGATCAAATACTGTGTACGCGGTAGCCTCATCTTGAGGAGTATCATTTTTGGTGACTTTTGACAGATACCGGAAGTGTATGCGCAGTTCAATAATTGTTAATGATTTGCGCGGGCGGTTAGTCGATTGATGGCCGGACGGGATCCTATTTGACGGTTTGATTGACATCGATAGCCCTATATGCTAGCTGTCACACTGCATGGTGGTTACAACTGTGAGCGCGGCGGACCTAAGAGCGGCCAGGAGAGGAATGTGAATGTGAGATATGAGCAGTGTAGTTGAAAACCTGGCTCGCACCATTGTATCTGTTCTGGCTGGACCTTGAGCCTTCAAGTTCTTTTCAATGTTCCCACAAGAGACAAGCAAGGCATGTGGACGTGCAAACATTGCGAATGCTACCCAGCAGGAATGAACCCCCGCTTCCTTCAAGTGCCTATCATGGTGTGTATCCGTACGTGTGGTCCAAAAGAGAGTAAATGAGGACTAAAGGAGAGGTGAAGCAAAGAATGATGGAAACCGGCCAGACTGAAAAACTGCGTTGAGAACGATGCCAGGTGAGAAGTGGAAAGACGGGAGGAAGCGCGGGAAGCAGCAGCAATGGTGGGTCCAACTGTTATCAAGTGGAGATGTGTAGCGTGCTAGTGGAGACCTACATTGGCCTTATGCGATCCGGGGCCCGGAGGCGGAGAGGGCCCGACCTCGAAGGGTCCATCTGGACAGGGACCCCAGGCGCAGGGCCCGCATCGATGTGCCTGATCAACCAACGCAGCTCCGTCCCTCCGTCCGTCAGCTGCCCCGGCCAAGCTGTCACGGTCAGGTCTGTTGAAACGGGCTTATCCGTCATCGTCAATGCCGCCCGGTTCGGTCCGTTCTTCAGCTTCCATCATGATCTGAACTTCAGTTCAGCTTTGATATCGTCTTTCACGTCCAGACTGGCATACAGTCGATAGTATCTCACCGTCGAGCTAATGACTACCTCGCCAGTCAATATTGAGGCGCATCCAAGACCAATGACTGGAGCTTGCTATACATCTCCCCACGTACGCGCACGGTACTCGGCGTATCTCACCTGTCACGGCAGGCTTTCGGCCAACAACACTTTTCCGTTGCGTAACGTTGAATTTAGTGCCCATGATGTATATTCAATTTCTTTATGTCAGGTTGTCAACCATTACCTCCTGCCTCCTTGGTCTTCTGAACGGTCACTCAAAGCTCGTCCCCTACCTCAGTCCTCGACGGGTCAACACCCTAGAGATACCCCTTAGTGTAGGTCTCCAAGAACATATGATGCTTGAACTGTAAACTTCACAGTACGTAAATTGCATACACAGGCCACACTACCAAGCACCACTCAGTCACCCCAGTCGCAACCCTGGATCCAATAGCTTCAAGTGGAAGTTATTCACGACGGATCAACGCTGTCAAACATCTCTGCCCGCAGCCTCTTGGAGGATTACATAGTTACCTACCTCCCGTCAATTGGCTGCACATCATTCAGCACCACCACGGCACCATCACCCGGCATAACCACTTTCAATACCACCTTGATCCTCCCCCTCGCCGTTGTTGCCTCCACTCGTTGCGCTCCACCTTCCACAACCATCGTGACAATCACCACCATCAGCAACGCCGGCCCCCGGCTGACACTTAGCACTGCCGCGCACCATTGGATTTTTTTTCCTTCATTTCTTCTTCTTTGACATCCGGCCCCCAACGGGCTGTACGGAGTACACGGTACACAGTACACGATACACGTTCTTACGTTTCATCGGTCCCCCGCCTTCAACCTCGAGGTTCCTTGTCCTTGACTTTATTGCAACGCCTGCCCGGCATTATCGCGCTATTAGATTGGCCTCGCATGATACAGTCCTCTTGATCAACTTGTTCCAGTCCGGGCCGTATGTCGCCTCGCTTCCACTCTCGGCATATTCTCCAACACATCACCTAGCCCTTTGCTGTTTACAATCATTTACGCAGCAACGCTCAGGAGGTTGACGGCTAGTTGCATTTACGCTGAGTGCTGTCATACATTGTGCAAACGCCCGCCTGCTTCTGTTACCCGTTGTTGCTCCCGTGCTCCGTCTGAGCCTTTGAGCTGGCCTAGCCCAGCACCACCAGCCTACGAGGACAACCTTTTTTCCCTGACCAGCCAACATCGCCGACCCAAGTTTACAACCACTGACGCCTGGCTAACTCGCCTGCTGCTTATCCGAACCGTTACTGCCTACCAAGCCTTCTTCTCCTGCCGTTCCGGACGCGAGCACCAACACTATCCTGCCGTGCCCGTTGTGTACTGCCCGGTTGTGTCGTGTCGTGTCATGCCCATACGCCTTCTGCTGAGCAATACGACCATTGACATTCAGTTGCTCTCATCGCAAGCAAGATATCGACCGTCTCGCATCTGTTCCCGCATCAGGTCGCTACCTCCCGCGGCTGCTTTGACCGGCGTCTGCGTTGTGGAGTCGGCTTCGAGGACAGCTTGCTTGCTTGCCGAGCTAGGTTGCCCGGCTTCTTCTCCGCGGACTGCTTTTCCTTCACGGGTACTTCTGTGGGCAGCATTCCCTACATCCGCCTTAAAGGGTCCCCTTGAGAGACCCAACCGCCGGCACGATAGCGTCCCAACTACGTATCCAGTCTATCCTCTCCCCCGCCGATCCGCCGGACGCCGATGAGACTTCGGCTACCAATAGTACGCCAACCGGTTCTACTCCAAACCGAAAGTTTAACGACGCGTTCGCCGCGCCGGGCTCTGGCGGACCGCCCTCTGTACTTCCCGCCGGGTCGGTTATAGCACCCAGGATTTATACCAACGACCGGTTTCCCAACAGTCGCCAGCCGCTGCCTCAAAGCTCACCGCTCGCTACCGGGGGCGGCGGGCTTCGCAGGCACGGCCAAATACCCGAGAATGCCAACAAGGTCTTGATGGTCTCCGCGACTATGAGGCCTACCCCTGAGAGCCCTGCAAGCCCTGGCATACCTGATCTGAAAAGGGGAGCCAAGCGTACCCCTTTGCGCTCGAGTATTGCCTGTCAACGTTGCCGGAAATCCAAAATCAAGTGCAACAACACAGGCGGTGATGCGCCCTGCGATACCTGTATCCGAAATGGCAAACAATGTATCTACCCTGACGTGGCGCCTGCTCCCCCAAAGCGAGCTGAGCCGCCCGCCGGTGTCAAGTCGGAGCAGGGTTCCGAGCGGAAGCGGCCGAGGAGACTCGATGATATCGCCAAGTTGGAGAGCGCTGTTCCGCCTGCCGCTTTCGCCGAGGAGGTTCTCACGGCGCCTTATCTTACCGAGAGTGTTTGGTCAGAAATCTTTGACCTGTACAAACTTCACTTCGCCACTGAGTTGCCGTTCCTTCACTTGGCAACTCTCAAGGAGAAAATGGGAAACAGGTTCAGAGCCAAGCAGAGTGACACATCTCCCGAAATCAACCTCGTGCTCCTAGGGGTCTTGACACTGACAGTACGCTTCAACCCCACGTTGGTGTCTTATGTTACAACACTCAGGACAGCTTCTACTGTTTCGAGCGGCCCAAAGTCGCGCCAACTGGGCATCAGTAGTGATGCGACGACCGCCTCCGAGTTCTATGCCGATGTCCTCACAAAGGCTTTGGGTGGACTTCGAGCCAGCATGACCATGGCATCAGTCGAAAGGGTCCAGGCCTTCCTGATGCTAGGCCTGTACGAGTGGGGACAGGCGCGACCCAAGGTGGGCGGCATGGCGGCATGGATGTATGTCGGAATGGCCATTCGTATGGCTCAAGCTCTAGGCTTGGGTGATGGCGATAAAGAGGACAGCAAAACATTCAAGTCCAGACCTCTAGACGCCTTGAGATTGTCCATATCAAAATCGCAACTGATCATCGCCAAAGAAATCAGGCGACGTACCATGTTTAGTTGCTTGATATTGGATCGCTTGCTGGGCTGTGGCAAGGGGCGTGCATCGACAATACGTTCTGAGGACTTGCGAATTCAGCTTCCCTGTTCTGAAATGTCCTTTGACCTATCCGAAGACGTCTATACTGGTTTCCTCAACCCTACAGCCCAGGAGATGGCAAGAGGCCCTATATCCGACAGTGCCGACAGCGTCCTAAGTCGCTTCATCCGACTCGTTGATATCTGGGGCGAAATATCAAAATGGAGCTTTGCCGGTGGTCGCTTTACAGAACAACATGCTCCTTGGAAGCGTGAGACAACATTCTACCAGCTCCGCATGAAGCTTGAGACGTTTTATAGCGAACTACCGGAGCGGTTTTGCTGGTCGAGGAGCAACTATTACAAGCACGAGAACCACCACGCTAGCAGTGTCTACGTCTCCTTGCACATGCTTGGCGCGGTATGTAAGATTATGCTTCATCGCGAGTACATACCGTTCATTGCAATCCGATGCAAGAAGCCAGTTGGCCCCCTCGATGAGCCTACTTTTGCCGAAGGCGATGAACCGACCGGATTCTGGAACGAAAGCGCTGAAGAGATTTTCAGAGCAGCTAAGGATATTGTTGATCTCATCGATATTTCCCAACAGAAACTTCCCATGTCGACGCTCGTTTTGTTTGCCGTTTGGACGGCTGCCTTTGTCGGCATATATGCTGTTTACTTTCCTCATATCGATGTCGAACGCCACATGCTTCTGCCACCAGACGAAGATTCAGGGATCGAGTTCGAAGAGATCAAAAAGGGACCTACCGGCCTGACGTACAAAACACTACAGCAAATGGGTAAATGGCTCAAGATGGCAGACACATATGTGCAATATTTTCATGATATGGTACGTTACTACGACACGGTAAAGAAGGACTACGAAGCCGCGGCAAAAGCGGCGGACGGGCCAGGCGGTGAAGCTAAAATTAACGTTCGTCTTCTTGGTGGCGGCCTGGAGGAGTGGAAATACCAAGGACTGAAGGTGGTCAACAATGGCGAAATCCTGGCGGTTGACGACGACCGGCACAGCATTTCTCGGGATAGCACGCTCGAACCAGCCTCCAGCAGACATGATGGCCATCATACGGACCACCACACCAAGACCCCAAGGTCGGATTCGCTCTCGTTCACCCCAATCAACACAACAACGCATCACCACCAGCACCCATCGTTAGATTCACCAGCAGACACCACTCGGACGCCAGACGGCGAAAACATGTCCTGGCATCACCCACCATATCAACGCCCAGTCACCGGCGGCATGCTCAGCTCCAGCAGTCAACACCAGTCCCCATCTCAATCATCATTCGCGGCCCTGAGTCCGCATCTGGCGACTGTCAAACAAGCATTAGGCCCACCGCCACCACCACCAGCGGCTGTCTCAGGCTCCGGTGCGGCAGCCTCGATCTCGACATTGCCCAACATACCCGTGTACAACTCCTCAAATGAGGTAATGCAATATATCCAGGAAAACCAGAGCATACCGTGGAATCAGTTACCAGGCGGTGTCGACCACTTTGCGCACGGGACCGATGACTTTTGTTTTGATGAGACGGGCAACGGGTTCTGGGGGTCGATGCCCGTTGTTATGGGCGCCTCTGCTGCACATGGTTATGTGCCACAACCGATTGTTGGGGTGAGTGGACAGCAGGGAACGGGTTGGAGTGGACTTATGTGACGAAGCAAAGAAGATGGCTGGGGTCTGAATGTTGTAGTGGGGGAAATCACCTTTTGTTTTTCTCTCTCTTTTTCTTGGTTTTGATCTACTACTATGTGCCAAGGCTGTATGTCTTTTTTTGTCATTCATCGATTACGGTGTCTTGAATGGTTTCTTTTTCAATTTTCAGGGAGCGGTTAGCTAACGATATCCTACACATGTGTTGGTCCGGTGTTTTGGTGATCGCCTTGAACAATACATGGTCTGTTTCTTGTCCATAGTTTTGGTATTTGTACGTATCTTTGTAAACCAATTTGGGCTTTAACGATGGCACGATAGGGTTTGTTTGGGGGGTCACTTTTTGAAGGACGGTTATATTACATTAGTTTACTGGGCGATACTTCGGAGTAACAGGACGATTATACTTTCCCAAATACCTATGGAGTATTCAAATGCCACAGAGAGCTCCAATGCAACATAAAATAATCATCAGCTCGACCACGCGGAAAAAGAACACTGTGATTCAGATTTCCCCTCACTTTTGTCCCCGTTTTCGTTATGTGAAGAGAGGATTTGGGTTTGTGATACAGTATAAAATGCGAGAGAAAGGAGAGAGCAAGACGTGTTACGACAGCTTGAGCGATGAGGATTGTATACGGATATGCAGTGTGTTAGCATGTGAATGTATCATCGTTACCGACACTCATATAATATGTACCGGTTCCAAAGAAATGCCAAATGCATGACATGATATCTAAGCCTGAAAAACCTTGACTGAAACAAAGTTCTTCTTGTTTGGGGTATCTTCCTGTAAGACC